TATCACACAAGTGACGTGCAATATCACCTGGAATCAGCACGGTAACGGTCAGTAAATCAACACAAGCCAAGTTCGCTATCAAGATGTTGGAAACTGTTGAGAAACGAAGCGCAACAAAAATCACTGCTAATACGAGAAGGTTTCCTAACGTTCCAAATATGGAAATGAGTCCATCAAGCGCAATAACAGCTCCACCTGTCGCATCAGTTAAGATGGTCGGTGTTTGACGACTTAAATTTAAAGTGGTGAGTTGAGTGGTGTTTTCATACATTCTGCTTAACACTCGATGTGGAGAACTGAAAAAGATAAAAATGGAAGGCATTTTAAACACGTTATGAACCTCGTAATTCACACATAAAGAAATATTAACAATTAGCACCATCAGAAAAAAGCATAAACTTTAAGTGGTCATTCATGGTTTTAAAATCTTTTTTCATGCATACCATTTAAAATATAGATATTGTTACATTACATTCACCATTTATAGTCAAATCATTGGATACAAAAACGTAGCTAAAATATCATTAACTGGCTTGCTCTACCGAGGACGCCATGTAAAATCCGTGGATGGTAGCTGCTAGAGGGAGACTGGATATGTAAAAATATATATTTTTAAATAATTCTCTTAAATAATCAGTCGACGCGATGTGACGAAATCCTTAGCGGCTCAGGCTGTGAGTTCAGCCAGCGTTTGGATAGGAGAATTGCTTTCTGTTTTAAAACATTCTTAGCTGGTAGAGCATCTTATACAAATAAAAACGTCATCAACTAATGGGTTAACGACAACTGTTTCTTGTAAAAAACGTTTATTCCAATAGTAAGGCCCCAATCGCCTATCACCAGTGTTGCTATACGCAAACCAGAAAATATTGTAGATAAAGAGAGCGCTTTAGTGTTTGATTCTACCTTACTTGCTTTGGCAACTGTGAACAGTTAACCTCTGTCAGCTCCGCTTTTGAAAGTTCACTCGACTGAAATTCGTGGTGAAGTAGTTTCTCTGCCTGGAGGTAGTCAAAGAATGTAATAACAACTTGTTTTTTTTCCACATGCATTAAGTGAAACACCTACTCATTACAAGCCCGAACAATATTGTAAATTTTCACATGGTTGAATGAACTGCGCCTATATATTTGTCTCATTAAGATTCCCAGGCTATCTGTACGCCGACAATTGACACACATGTTACGAAGTTTATTGATTTGAACATATCTCTCACTCATCTCTATTGAAGATGAAAAAGATACATATATTTCAAGAAGATTGCCTTCCGCTCACCCCAAAGTCTTCGTCTGTAGGGCTTGAAAAATTTTTATGAGTGTTTGAAGGATCACTTCTTATTGTGGTAAATGAAACGGCGTAAGTAAAGTTAATTCTTATATTGCGCTCATATTTCAATACCTAACGACACTGACTGTCCGTTTTACCCAACAAACCAATCGGAACACAGAGATCAGTTGTCAATGTTCCGTCATCATTCGCTAATGTTTAGGTGCAGCTCGCCAGACGAACCTTGTCAAGACGCGGGATTGACCTGACCAAAAGGGTTGAGATTCAATCAATTTTTGTCGTGTAAACATAATCTCAAGAAGCCTTTTCAGGCTTCTTGAGATCAAAAATCTGGAACCACAACTATCCCGTCGTACTCGAGTTTGAAATAATTTTTATCACCACTATTGTCTCTCCTCTTTTGACGTATTTGGTCACCAAAAATACTGACCCGGGTCAGTCTCGAGGTAAACCACGCCAAGTTCAGTCTGGGAAAGCAAACCTCCAGGTTATTACTGCAGTAATTCGTCCCATGCAACTGAACAAATCAACCAGGGGTCGTACAAAGAGACAAAATAAACTGAAGTGGAGAGGCCGGGTCATCTCTTCCTGCCGCGTTACCCCTGTTGACAAATTCTTAGAGGTGAAACAATTAACGGTGAAAATCTTTTCAGTAAAACTCTTTACTTTACTCTCTGAAACTCTTTTCGGCGGCAAATTTACGTTATCAACTCAGCTGATGGTACTTTGTTGACACTCAGGTTTGAATTTCTCTATTTTTCCAATGTAAAGACCGGTCTGAAAGCTCTCTCGGTCTTGTACTTTCTCTAAAGTAACAATTTTTGTCTCGCCGTGGCTATTCTTTCTTTTTCTTTATCCGCTGACATATTATTAGGTGTTTGGTTGCCAGAAAGGTTGGACCAGGTCATTCTCATAGCAAACAATACACCAGTAGAGACTGGCTCCTCGGGTTCGTGTATAAAGTACTTGTATTATTTGGCGCTCTTTATGTTGATTCAAATCGGGCTCGTGATCAGAGGCACATGAGGGCAATTTTAGAGGAAAACCAAGCTGAAAAGGAGCGCAGTAGGTATAATTTATGTCCGATTTCCTTTAATTTCGTTAAAAAGGTGAGAGATCTCTGAAACCTTTCCTGCGATGTACTTCACTCCGAAACCATTGCTGTAATGTTAATCATACAGTAAATTTCAAAAAATACTTTTGCATATATCTGAATTTAAAGATAGTTTAATTTTGAATTTAAAACTTTCTTAGCTTTATAACAAATATAATCTTTCTCCTGTCGGCTATCGTGTCATGTTCCATGCCGTGACAAGGCTCTTCGAAAACTCCGTATAGTCATTGCATAGTCCTGGCCAGTTGTCAGCTGTAACGAATCATACAAGACTTCACCATCTTTCTCATTGTCTTCCGAAAGTTAGCGCTTCGTACGCAGTAGATGTATGGATTTAAAGAGGCATTTAAATAGTATATTATGTTAATCCAGTTCTGTATGTCGAAGTATCGTGGATCACTTGGAAAAACTACTGAGTAAAATATAAGAGCTGGGATCCATGCAGCACAAAATACACCAAGAATTATTGCCATTGTTCTCGTCGACTTTCGTTCATGTAAGAAGTTTGTATTTCTTTGCACGTTTGAAATCTGCAAGCTGGCAATCTGTCTTTCTTTTTTCAGAGCAAACAGGAAGATATGAATGTACAAAAATATTGTCACCAACATGATGACAGTGCAGTATGCAGGCTGTATATATATAAAGTTTAGTACCATAAAAACAGCTGATATAAATGCCCCTAACAGCCACGTAAGGGAGATAATGACGACAGCACGTCGTTTTGTCATCATAGAAGTGTACTTGAATGGATATTTAATGGATAAAATACGGTCTACAGCGATCGATAATAAACTTGAGACTGCAGCAGGCGCGATAAACTGTGAAAGTCCACGATTTGCCACAACAAACGTTTCTGGGACGTGACAAAAACCTTTCCTGCACATATATTTATAGATACCACCAGGAGAGACGACAAACAGACTTAATAAATCAATTAGGGCCAGGTTTCCAAGAAGTAGGTTAGATGGTGTTGCAAGTCGAATGTTGAAAAAAATCACCAAAAGTACCAGTAGATTACCCAGTGTACCCAAGATAATTAGTAGTCCGTTTATTGTGACGGCTGATAGAACTAAGGCCAGGTTTGGAGGCGTCACCGAAGGGCTCGCACTTGCTGTCATCGTGGTTTTCCTTTGGAAGTTTGTAAACAGAACAATGATTAATAATCACTTTAGAATACGATTATTGCTTTGGTCTTTTCGACAAATATGTTATGAATGTCATTACGTTAAAGCAAGAGTATGTGAATGGATAGCCACCAACCGGGAACATAGTGATGATGTTCATCTTGGGCGGGCGGCTTTCCTCCATTGCCAAATATCGCTTCCCCCTTCCAGAAAGAGCTAAAAATATTTTTACTGATGTTCATAAAGATGAAGACGATGATGAAGTGAGTACGATAGGTTTTTTTTTTTTATCTCATCACTGTACAACTTCCGATTGGGAACAAATGTTAACAACCTTATTTAGTGCTCCTTATTATGTTAAAACGCTCGTAAAATATCAGTCACCCTTGGAGCAATTCAACTGTTGAAGGATCTGGTAAATATTTATAAGTGGTTTTAGCTGTCAAAACATAATTTAGTCAATTTAGTCTCTTTGCTGACTGTTCTCCATACAGAGAAATCATTGTCCATTTTTCTTCTTGCTGAAAGGCTTTGACAATTTGTACGAGTACTCTACGATAGAATCCTCATGCAATATACTCTAAGTATACCGAAAGGAAAGAAATGATATCCCCGACAGTTTTCGTGCTTCCCGTTCATTCTTGAATCTGCTGCGTTTCGAAAATTCCACTCTGTCATAACCATACCTATTGCACATCTTTTAGAGGTTACCACTCTTTAGTGCGACATTTCACCCGGTAATTAAACTGCTCGGAAAAAAATAGAATTGAAATCCTAAGGAAATGTTTGTAAATGAACCAAATTATTATCACTTAAAGTTGTACTTTCAACTGTCTCACCCGTGATTTACTTTTTCGTTATTCTTTATTGATAGCTTTGCAAAATTCACTTGAGAAAAATACTTACCACTTTAATAAATTAAAGGAGTTTCTACAGAAGAGTTAAGTTCGAGAACTTACCTAAGCAGGAATAAAACCACGATTAATGATCTTTTTCTCTCAGTTTCTGACAGCAATTGTAGTTCCGCAGTGAACTCAAGAAATAAAACACGCGACTCGAGTTCTAAACAGAAAACACCTAAACAAACCCAGTACAAACCGTTTATCACAATACAACCGTATGACACTGAAAATTTGTTTCCAGATGTGCTTGGCTGACGATCTTTCCTATATGCCGCTGTATACAATCTTTTGCGCAACCGCAGGCACAACAGAGCTTGATAGAGTGGGCATATGACGTTCCAACAACACGACTGGTCGACAGTTTGAACCGAACTGAGCTGTCTTACGGCAATATCCCATATAATTCCGGAAACATCATATCAGGTGGCCTTTGCGAAGCATGTTCCATCGCTTCAACCGGGTTATATGCAGTCACTAAACTACGCATAAAAATATCCTTCTAATTACATTGGAATGTTTTAATAAGTAATGAAGTTCATGTGTGTGCGTGTAAAGGAAATACACTTGATATATCAGCCTTTTCCAGCGCATCCTTCGACGTTTTATTACCGGTTTAGGATGAAATATTTTCCAGAAGTGATGCTATTCAGAATTGACAATGAAATAAGTTCTTGTCAACTCATGCCAGTTTATTTTGGTCTACCACAATTCATGACCTTTATCACGTGAACTATTTTGGTTCACAATTAGCACTGCCAAATGTTTCCCTTGTTGATTTTTAGGAGGTTTGCTATATTGCAATGCTATTTCTTCCTCGCACGATAACGTTTCACCATAAGTGTAGATCATGGCTTGTTGACTTTCAGGAGCCAGTTTAGAATATTTATCTTTATGTGTGTTTCAGTGAAAGCAGTGAGGGATACAAGGTCAAAGCTTATGACTAAGAGGCGTCAAGAAACGAAAGCAACCGCTAACCAAACAAATATGTTACATAACGTAATCGACGCAAAAAAGGTATATTGTCAGTTATTTAAATTGATATCAGACCAACAATACCCGTGAACAATATAATTGCGTGGTTGTGGCCTACCACCTTTTGAAGAATCAACTGCTGTTACTGATTTAAACACCGTGTAATGCATGAGGTATTAAAATGACCACTCGTTTGTGTCAATGAAATCTAACAAAGCAGGCCTTCACGTAATCGTCGGGATAACACACCCGACAAATAAAATAAAACAAAATGACATTTTAAACATAGAATTCGCAATAAGATCGCAAAATTGATCAGAAAACAGTAATTTTAATAAGGTCTCAGCTATTGCACACGTCTTAGAAACGATTTAGACTCTCTCTAACTGTTAGCCAGCAAATTTAGTCTCACTTTACGTCTGTCTTTTGGATTGGCCATCTTGATTTTTATCCTTCACATCTAAGTTGGCTTTGTGTAATTACTGATGAAGGAGAGCAGTTAAAAGCCTGGAGACTACTGGGTTAGTATGCATCAAGCTACCATTAGAGTAAATTTTGAGCTTGTTGGTATCGTCTCAAAGTGCTGACAAATGTGCTGACGAAACACTACGTAACGTGGCTGATATTTTGAGTTTGAATACAACAAAAATCACGAGATGAAATCCAACAGGTATCAAATCTATAATGTTACTCTTAAGTTCATTTTTTTTTAAACAAGCAATCCAAAGATCTAGGCTAGGGATGGCAATCATTGAAGACTTAAAATATTTGTTGAAACCAAATTTGTCCCCACAAATTTCCCACTATTAGAAATATGTGATTATGCGGTAGATTCTCTCAGACATCTCGTCTTGTTTTATAGCCACACACTGCAGCTACGCTAAGCAACAACCAATCACAAAACAAACGCTAAACACTTCGAAGAATTCATTCGTTCGATAAAAATTGTTCTAGAAAAACCAAAACCAGCTCAAATTAAATACTAATAGTCTAAAATACAATTACCCGTCGAGCAATACATTTCGAATCTTCAAAATTACTACTTCTTGTAAAATTGCTTGACTAAATAAAACTAGTTTTTAACAATCTTGTGTATTCTGTACTATAAATAACGCTAACGTCGCATTAAATCAAACTAATGGCTCACAACTTAGAAATTACAATGCTAACTAAAATGGGAGTAAAAGCCAACCATTTTCATTACTTTTAAGTCCTCGAAACATGGTAACACACGTGACAGTTGGTACTGTCATGAACAACTTGCACGGTTGTAGTCAGAGAGAGATAAACGTTGTAGTGTGTACATTAGGACCTCGTACATAAAAAGTCATCATTTTCCTCTTTTTAACGGACTTTAAGCCCTTTTTGTTGAGAAAAATCTCTCATCTCCCTCTTGTCATCAATATAATTATCATACGTATCATTTTCAGTATAAGTATAACATAGGAATTATTAGTTTCCTTCGAACTTTTGCAGAAGGGGAAGTAAATATAGTACGAACACGAGGAATAGTCAAGCAAAGAAACTCTCTTAAAGGATTTTGTGGCAACATAATAACATGCTATAACATAGTAACATGCTATAACATAGTAGCATTGATTACGGAATCAAGGAGTTAAACTCCTCCAGCCGCGAATTAAATTTTCTAAACTCCGTGTCTCCCCAGGCCTCCCACAGGACCAACTGATAGCGCTCCAAACCGCGTTCTGTAGTATTCACGCTACCTCTTGGAGTCTCCAGGCGACGCAAACAGACCACCTTGTCCATGCCACTGCTGACAATTTCATCCACTTGACCATTTTCGTAACCTAGAAGATTGTCACTCTCGAGTTGAGCGAACACAAGACCCAAAGGAACATCATCATTAAATGAGTTGACGTTCAGTGTTAGCACGTCACCAACTCCTCGTCCAATCCACAACGTGCCATTCACTAACGAAAGTGCTGTCACACGATTAATTGTGCCAGCAAGTATTCGTATCCGAGGTCTCGCTGCCCACGGTTTACTAAGTGGTGACTTGTTGCCTTCATCTTTCTCCTGTCGCCGTTGAGATTTTCTCCTGGTTGAACTCATAAGCGAGGGAGTTCGAGAAGGTGAATTGAAAGGCTGCCTTAACGACGTCATAGAAGCACATGGACGGGATATCGAGCTTTCAGAGCCTAAACTTTTTCGTGCACCTTCGATGAAAGCTTGACGAGTTTCTTCGCGGTCAACGAGCTCAAAATCTGCACCTTCCCTTTTGTCGACAGCTTCTCTGGTTACTGTTTCGGTCTCTTTTTCATCTTCAACATTGTTGTCTCCTGTCTGTCTCTGGGCTTCAATTGTAATTTCAGGAATAGTTTCAACTGATAATGTCATAGATAATGCATCACTTTTGCCATGATTGGAAGTAGCGTCGCATCTCGATTCTATGACTTCCTCGCCGGAGTTTCGAATATTATCGATTGTCGCTGTTTTTTCGATTAAAGTTGGAACATTTTCGGAAATTACTGAAACAGAATCTTCGTTTGTTTGAAAATCTTCGGTTTGAGAGTGAGACTCCTGCGGGGTACTGCTAGCCTGAGCAAGAACTGTGATACTTTTCGTTGTATCTGTGCTACAAAAAGAAGAAATTCCACCCTCATCGGAGACGGTTTCCGCTGGTAGGGACAGAGAACGGGAAAATGCCTGAACCTGTTTCGAATCCATATTTCCAGAATCCTCATGACGATCATTTTCTGTTGTATTTCGACCAAAGTCAGAACCAATTCGACGAGGAAGTGAATCCTCTTTACGCAAAGAGTTTGTTTCGTCGCCTTCTTCATTGATACTACGATCCATCGCCTCTTTAAACATCGATTCAGTGAAAGAGGGCTCGCACATATCAGGTGGGTCACTGACTGTTCTGTCACGACGGGAAGAGCGTTCATCATCACCTTTTCTTGAAGTGAAACGGCGGGACTCTACTATGTTTGTGTCTAAAACTTTTCCAACTGGACTGTTAACATCACAGTCAAAAATATTGGTCAGCTGACGACTGCTAACTTGCCATTGTAAAATTTTCGATGACCTCCTGTCCGCGCACCAAACACGTGTTCCGTCCGTTACCATGATCCGGACATGCGTCCTTTGCGTTTGGTACACCGCAATCTCGTCTAGAATTACCAAGGTGTTGGTATCCACTATCACAATCTTGTTGCCGCATCCAACCCACAGTTCTTTATTATTGAATACGAGAACCATACATTTGGTGGGCATACCAGACTGACCAAGGTTAACAACCTACAATAAGTGAACACAGCTATGTATCACTAAAGAGTAACCCACAACCTGTTAGTGCCACCAGAATGGTCTTCGGCTAAGAAGTAAATGAATTTTGACCAAGAATAATCCATTGTCGTTAGACGTGTACATGTTGTGAACTTATGTGTAATACCATGTTCGCAATATAACGTGCAATCGTTAACAACAAACTGTTTCAATCTCTCATTTCTACTGTCACAAAGGGTAAAGTCTTTCTCCTTTAGTATTTCTCGCAACTGAAAAAAACGACAACATACACAACAAACCTGAAAGTTAGACCACTTGTCACTTTCCTTTTTCAACCGTTCATCCTCGCCTTTCGTTTCTAGAGTGACATCAGCATGCGAAAATCTTCGTGCTAATCTAGTTTTAGGAGTGAACACTATCAGGGTACCATTGGCAAGGGAAGCAAATACACTTTTAACTCTTGTGCCACTCTATCAATGGAAAAAAGACAGAAACCTCAATTAAATGTGAAGTTCAAGATACTCTAATCTTGGAAGTTAAAAAACTAAATGGAAGTGTTTGATCCAGGCCAAATTCCGTCCAAAGGTATTTTTTCCCATTCACCTTTGAAAGGTACTGGATTTGTTACATTTTAGCGAGGTTACTTCAGTTGCCTTTGTGTCCATTTCTCTATGTAGCTTCGAAGGGAACCATTTTAAACACCACTAGTGCATAATGAGGAAGCTCCCTTGGAAGAGAATTTAACGCTGGCTGCGACATACAAATGCACGAATACAAAACACAAAACCATGGCAACTATATCATAGTGACAATATTACACAAAAAACATTGTAGCTATACCTCAAGCTCTGCCTTTTCAGGAAGGTCCTCATCTGTTGGAAAATACTCCGTCAACAGCGCAAGAACTGGAGCCTTAGTGGTATACGACCACAGAATTGAGGGATTACGCCAGGACGTCCGTCCGAACACCTCTATAGTGCACCCCTACAAAAATGGTCCCTGTCAGATTTACACTCTTATAGACATTAAAAATAAACTAAAAGCAACACTAGAACAATTTTTTTCTCTCAGTTTCGAAATTAATCATATCCACTCCTGAGTACTGCAAGGAAGAAGTTTTTCTTTTCAGCTTGTTTGCGATTAATAACAAAATTTATTTACCTCCGTGCCAAGCCAAGTTCGATTTTCAACTCTCGTCATGCAAAGCACTCTATGTCCCTCACAGTTTTGTCCTTGTGTATGGAACACTCCTGTCTCACAGTTGATTATACTGTAGTACCGATCATTTCGTTCACGACTCCAAATCAGAATAAAGTTCGAAGCGATCTCAGTTGAAGAACCCTCCATAGCCTCAGGGACCTTGGGATTGCCTGCAAGAGTGCGCAGGTAACATAAGTTGACTGGTACATGAGCAAAGTCGACATCTTTTACGGATGGAAAAGACCCAAATGAACGAGAGAGATAATAAAGACACAAGCAACACGCGCACTTATACTAAATGATCCAATGGTGATAAGCCGTCGAGTCTTACCAGAAGCAACATTTGATAAGGCATAAATTGCTGTAACTTTCTCCAACAAGTTTTCATCAGTGGCTGGTAACAGTCGACACTGACATAAGAAAGCTGGATCTTCCATCTCTTTTAAAATTTCGCTTGCAGGAGGACGCTTCTCTGGCAACTGATGCCAGCATGATCTACAGAATGCAAAGCAACATAAGTTATGATGCAAGTTACAAGGTAAAGTGGGAATGAGAATTGCGTGTGAATGGGATTTAATTAAGCGTTGACCCACATGATCCAAACCCTCTATAATAATTTTACATGCATGACCACATTCAGAAAAAGTACTTAATATCTTCTTGCGGTGGGTAACTCATTCAGTTATAGTTTTTCCCGCCTTCCTTCTCCTGTGAGGTGGTTTCATTATCCCAAAGAAGCCTTGCAATATCAATAAACTGAATTTCCGTGGACAATCTTACAGGGGTATTAAGTGTGTGAAGCAGAGGTATATCATTGACAAATTCTTACCTCATTAGCCGTTCTAATCTTGGCAATTGTGAATCTAATTCAAGCTGAGGTGAAGGCCGCACCCCTCGTCGAATCGCTTTCTTGATGTCCACGACATTGCGATAATCACTAAAAGGACGACATCCTGTCAGCAGCTCAAACAGAAAAATTGCAAAGGAGAAAATATCCACCTGGAACAAAAAAAAGAGGAAACATAACTGATGCATTAAAGAAAGATGTTTTTTCGTCTTGTCACGAGCGGGGGACAAAGAAAAAATTCTGAGTCCTCATGAGGAATCGAACCTCAGCCCTTCAGATTCCGCGCTCAGATGCTCGTAACTAATGCACTTTGACAATTTTACTTGTAGGTAGCACAATATCGCTTAACCTTTCTGCTTTTATCACTAAGTCTGTGATTTCATTACCTTTTCATCGTAACCGACTCCAGTGCGAATTTCCGGAGCCTGATATCCTGGAGTCCCTTCCTCTCCAGCAACTCCTTGAGGTGTGGCGAAACACGAGATTCCGTAGTCAGATAGTTTGACGTTCAATAAAGCGGACTCATCCATGGACCAAACTAAAACATTGTCGGCTTTCAGATCTCGATAGATAATGTTACAGTCGTGGAGATACCAAAGGGCACTGGCGACCTGAGGCGATAAAAAGAATTAAAAGCGTTGAAAGGAATTGCAAACATGCTGTCTTTTTCTTTTGAGCTTTGGTGCGAAAGCAAGAGCAAAAGCAAACAAGAGGCAACACACGGATGCCTGTTGAGGGGTTCTGACTTTCGTACTTGCTACAGGTCAACTCTTGTTTGTTTGTTTGTTTGTTTGTTGGCTGTCTGTTTGTTTTCCTGTCTAAGGAAGGAAGTAAGCGGTTTATGGTAGCAAACGGTTTCAAGTCACCGCATACGTAAGAAAACTTACGAGAAAGAAGCAATCACGTGTCAACATCGTCACAATCCTAAAGCTAAACCTTGGAGGTACCTTTAGACACCTTCTACTTCCAAGGTAATCCTCTAAGGCGTCTGTTATTTCTCTACACGTGACAGATACCTGGAAAGCGATTTTATAGGATAATTCACGCCCAAGAATTGACTCCCTGCTCCTGGAAACTTGGCTGCCTTCGTTCTCTCGAGCTTCACGCTTTGATGAGAGCTCGTCAAGGACTGTAGCTAAACTACCAAAAGGGGCGAGCTCCAAAACAAAGCATAGTGGACGCAGAGAAACGGCAAGAAGTCTGACAACACATGGATGATTCAATCGGCAAAGGACTGCTACCTAAAAACACGATCACAAAGAAAATCCTTGCTACTCTAATAATTTCAAAATTATCAACTAAAGCAAATTAACAACCTAATTCAATACGAAAATAAGTAAAATTAACTGTTCGAAGAACATCTTAATACTCTTGAATCATTTGCTATTTGCCGCATATTTAGGGAATATGGCTGAACTTAGTTTCTTATGAATAATGCCCATCTCTGTCATTTATTCATTATTATTGGTTTTGTGGAGGGAGATTGAAGAAGGGCTGGAGGTTCTTACCGGGTGTGTTATAAAACTAAGAAACAATGGTGGTATGTGAGAGCAACAACTTCTCGAGCGTTTACTTGCAAATAAGCGACCCGTTAGTGATGTGTAGTCTGTAATGCAAATGAAAAGCTCTTGGGAGTGAAACGAGGGGATTAGGGTGGCGTAGGGCAGGGTAAAGAAAAATATGACACTGTTAGTTACTTTTATTACAAAAGATTAGAAACTGATATTATGTTGCTTTATTATTACCTCTTGACGTAAGTCCCAGAAAGCTTTGACAACCTTAGTCCTTTCCAGTTCCTCCTCCATGTCACGTTCAGTGTTGGCAGTGTACACATCAGATCTCCGGCCACTTGAGCCCTCACTCACATGGGACCTATAACAGGATCCACTTAAAGTCCTGGATCCAGGAGAGGGCCCAGTGTTTCCAAGTCCGCTGTCAAGGAGAGAGCTGCACATCGGGAAGAGTCAAAGAAACCATAAATGTCACGCAAGGGATTTACCACTTCTAATGAATAATATTTAGGATAATATGTATTCCAAACGTGTAATGATAAAGTGCCTGAGTCCTTAGTCACAGAAGCCCAAACCATGATGTCTGAACACCAGTTAGTTGTAAAATCCTTCGACACGCATCAAGCACATGAACATGATCGTTAACAACTCAACTCATAAGAAGAGCATAACAGAAAAGTTAAATTTGAATTTCTCAGACATTTACCCAGTTTGGCCTATAGAGTGGAATATTTTCACCGCCACAGTCTCGTTTCGATATGATCCACGATACACTTCACCAGAGCCACCACCGCCAATCTTATGTGATTCTCGCGGGTCGAACTTGAATTGAGTTTGATCCACAAGTAACTGCCGGGGTAGGTCTGCCATTAACAAGTCCGGGATAAGAAGCGATATGGACACCACTCTATCCGGATGGGAAGGACAGCTGATAGTTGAAAAACGCATCGCAGTTGCTGCGCATTCCGGCAGAGTGAAATTGTGCGGATGAAGAGTTTGCAACATAAGAAAATTAGAGGGAAGAGTGGATGGAAACTCCATAGAAACAGATCGTTTCATTGATTTGCGGTGAGTCATCCAGTTGATACAAAGCGGACACGGAATTAAACGACGGACCAATGGCAACCCATACATGTCAGTCTCGTCGAGACCTACAACCAATTATTTTAAAGGTGAGATATCGACTGTGGGTATTTAACAAAGGAGGCTCAACCAAATTAATTCTCAGAGCAAACCAGCCACAGCTACACTGATAACTAGGTGAAGTTATTTTTTCTCTAAACGAGCTGGGCTTACAATATTTTTCCGACTATTTCACGGGTTTCTTTTGTTTTCTTTTTAGAATTGCTTCTATATCGATTTTCAAAAAATAACTTATTTTTCACAGGGATTGTGATTGCTAACCCTAAGCAAATAGCTTCAGTATTTTCATTTACCCGGATACCATTCCGAAATGAGAGCGTCAATCTGATCGACAATGAATCCAATAGCAGCAAAGTCTCGCTGTTCTGACCATACAGTGATAGCGACACCATTGATTTCTTGGAAGACGGCCTTTCCTTGATTTACAGGGATCTTGAAGAAGAAATACAGAGTCAAAAATAGTTAGTTTCAAAGGCAAACAAAAACATCATGTAACGTGAACTGACTTTTTTTAATAGCAATCAACGCAACACTTAAGGGTCACAGAAAAGAAGAGTCATGTAACACAAGGATCATACGATACAAAAAGTCACGCACCAATTCTTGGTATGATTCCACCTTGAAGTAACCTCCCTCATACACGACACCAATCCCCTCCCGCCAGTAAACCAAAGAATAGCTTTCTTCCTTTATTTGCTCAATAGTCCGCCATCTTTGAACGGACACAATAAGCCTGGTAATGAGTCGGCTCCAGAACCCGCTCGGCGTGTAGGCCATCTGGTAATTCCTACACACTGTGTTGATGTTTGAATTGTCTAGTGAGCTGCTGCCACGACTACTGGAAAATCTGCCCTGTTGATCAGTAACATACAATAGTAAGTCAGAAATATTATAAGAGTACATACTTTTACTCAAGTTCAAGTACTGTGAAGGTGAGGAACGTGAGTAATTTAGCCACACCTGTTCGTTTGACTTTTTTCTCTTGGCCATCAACTTCTGAAGCTTGTGAAGCTGCAGTCCTGGTTTCTCTTTTGGTAGCATTGAAGGAATTAAAAGCTGTTCCTCGTTTATAGAGAGAGCAATCTCGAAACGCTCCATTAGTTGCAGATACTGAAACAAGTAATTATTCAGTCAATAAATCCATCAGACGGCTGATCGGTCAGTGTTGTACAAAATATGACTTTAAGGCTCACCTGTAGTATAAAATTTTGGGGGAATTTGGGGTCTCTCAACACCAACTGCAAATCCTTCTTCTTCATGACACCGTTAACAATAAAAGGATTTCTCTCTCGGACGGTGACAAGAGTCGCAATAAGATCACAGACCCAAGCAGGGTCAATAAAGTAAAGATGATTGAGGCCCCGCAGCTGATCATTGTAGTGAAGTAACACACCATTCTCGTGTAAGAATCTGGTGGCTAAGAGAAGACGGAATACGCCCAGGAAAAATTAGTTTTTTTTAAATACCACAATACGTTCAGCTCACAAGTTACTGGTGGATAGGCATGTAGTTAACTGAATTTTGATATTGCATCTCTCGGACGTCTGTTTCTGTTTTTATATTATTATTATTATTATTATTATTATTGTTCGTTTGTTTCTCCGAAAACGCTAAGACGTGAACCACGTCAGAGAGATCTTAAGAAGTTCGCGAAAGGTTTCTTATCCTCATGACGGTAATTCTTACCCATTACCATAAACTGTAGCAAAAAAACATGCAAAGTTAATCCGAAACGCGACAACGAACCCGAGGTCTGAACAAACAACAACAACAAAAATCACCTTCATTCCCACATATCAGTGGTGAGATAACGCCAGTGACACTTGTAGTCGTGTTCGATGATGGAAGCTCACTTACCTAGTGTTAGCTCCTCAGTATCTAAGATGTCATTCTGTGGACTGCACTTGGCGAGTTGCAAGATTTCATCTTCCAAGAGTAAGGGTGGTTCGCCTGTGGTTCTCCGGCGCTCAGCCTCTTGTATAACAGCTTGTTGGAGGTCGATGTAACTTTGTGGTACCTGAAGAGAATTCAGAGAGAAGTAAGAAACAATTAAGTCATCAACCGATTAGCACTCTGACTTTTTCAAGCTGAACAAAGATGAAGGAGGCAAATGAAATAAAGGAAGAACAATGTTGACGTTCTGTCTATCTCATCATAAATCACGGCTGTTTCGAAAATCAAATAGGAAAGGAAAACAATAAAAACTAATAACCATTCGACCAATGATGTTTTCTCCATGATCCTTGACTTTTAACGCCTTGCTGTAAATCAGTTCTTTCAACTCCGGAATGTTCTCGCCAGTCGTCGGCGACACAACAATATTGCCGACAATCTTCGGAAATCCTTGGTTGTCCAAATACTTCAGCGCGATGCTTTGCTTCAGTGCATCCACGCGGTCTTGTCGATTTTTCTTCGGAAGCAAGTCCAGATGTGTTCCGACAATCAAAACTTCGGAAGACGGTGCACGAGCCTGAAAGGAAACACAGGGGAAATTCTTCAGAACCCTAGTTATGTCATGACACCGGAGGTATACCATTTTGGACAATGTGGTTATCACTTTGTATAAGAAACACGTCGATCATAGGCGACCTTGGAGCAATTTTTAATCGAGAGGCGAACGTTATCCGGGATTGCGTGGGATTCGCTTCCCTTTGTTTTAAGAATGGCCTTAAAGATTCGTGATACTCTCTCAACCAATCACGTCCAAAACAAAAACCAATCGTTATACTTGGCCATGTCCACGCATCAGGCTGTTTTTTTACTTGTCTTGTTTTTTTTAGTTCTCATTGGGGCCTTGTGACATTTACTTTGCACTGATTGATCATTGTGGTTACTTTGGTTGTATTTCTGCCGCACCCAATCGTAAAGCTCTTCATGTAATTTATCCTGAACAGTGAATCTTTCTAATCCATGGGTGAAAATGAAGATTAACTAATGCTGCGTGCGTAGCTGACCTGACAAACATTCGAGTCAGGTTTGTTCCAGTAAAATGACTACAGCATTTAAATCACCACCTGTATGTTGAGAAGCCAACGTCTCAGACTCTCCACTCCTTCTTCTCCATGTGTCACGTTCCACACGGCCAGGTACAGAGTATGAGGCGACAAAAACATTTGATGAGCCGCGTAATAAACATTTTGCCCCGCAAGATCCCAAGTGCTGAACGTTATTAATGGTGCGTCACTCTGGTAAAGGAAAAAAGGTCAGAATCTAGAGTATTTCAGTTCAACTTAAGGTTCTAATATTCTAATGAAAATGTTTGATTCATTTACTAACCTGTGTTAAGAAGCGCTGTAATGAAAACCTTGAACTGGCCCCGATCTGAACCTGCCATTCGTCAATCACAATTCCCACAGTGGACAGGTTAGGTGGCAGTTTTTGACCTTTTAAAGCAGACAGCAAAGTTGTCTTCCCTCGACCCTTAAAAAGTAGATGTAATTGTAATCAATGGAGGTTGATTGCACGACTTTAATATTAAACCCAGAACCTAGGCCATAATAATTCGTAACTAAGAGGGAAAGTACTTCTTACCTGTAAACCTACCACCATCAGTTTCATGCGGTAATACGGTACAGACTTCCGAAGAGTTGCTCGTAAGTATGCCAGCGTGTCTTTTGGTCGGACACCAATCTCACCTGAAAAGAGCGGAGACAAACGGCATTTATGGATGAGCGCCCAGAGACATAAGACAGGAGAGAGGAAGAACGAGTAAAGAAAATTTAGCAATCGTAGAGTGACTTCGTCCTTTTCCCACCTCCTCTCTCTCGCGACGCAAATTTTCCGTCTTTAAATTGAAATTCATCTTTAGAGGTCCAGGTCAACGCCAAGGTCACTTACCAGGTCTGACGTGTTTAGGAATGCCTGAAAGATTTAGTTTGTTCAATCGGAGCTGCCAGCAATCGCGTAAGTTGCCAAGTTCAGGAGGAAGTGTGCGCAGTTCAGGGTTACTGCATGAAAACAAAACAACAAAATAAATTACGTAAAAAAATAGCATTAACTTTGGAGAGAATGTGAGTGAAAGTTATCAATCATTCATTTCGAATTAGATTCCAACTATCTTCTCATTACTGTAAACGAGGCTAAGGAAGGAGATACGTGCCAATAACTGGAGCCCTTAATTGCTCGCTTTCACCCAGCGGCAACTTGAATTAAACCTCAACTATAATCAACCCGTAATTACATTATAAAGGGTAATTAAGGGAAGAAGACAAGAAAGAGATGGGTGAGGGAGAGAATAAGATGGGTGAGGGAGAGAATAAGATGGGTGAGGGAGAGAATAAGATGGGTGAGGGAGAGAATAAGATCGTAACTTAGTTCTGCCCTAAAACATTACTATAATTCTTACTTGCTTAGGTCCAGTTCGATGAGGCTCATCAATCCGCAGATGCTTAAGGGTAAGGAATGTAAGTTGTTGTCGTTTACAGAAAGTGTCTCTAGCGTGTGAGAAAATAGTGCTGTAGGAAATTCACAGTCAGTCTTTGTTTCTTGACCATCTTCTGAGCTGGAGGCTTTGAAAAATTGGAAACGCTTCAGTGTTGAAGAACCCATCTGTGACTCGACAAGTGGTTTGGCGGATAACTGTAGAGAGTAAAATCAAATTCATTCAATTAAGATCGATCACAGATCACAGCCAGCCAGGTAGAATAAGAGAAGCGCCTTCCTCCAGATGTTCGTCACTCAGAAAAGCAACAATAATTTTCACTTATTTTAGCCGTTTTACCTTGTTGAAGGAAAGGTTTAGCTTGTGCAAAGTGCTGCATGTCCAGAATTCTGGCTTTGGCAACATTCGAATGTTATTGTGACTCATATCTAGATCTTGAAGTCCTGACAACTGACACAAGTTCCAAGAAATGGATCCCAGATTATTGCTTGAAAGATAGAGACGCTTCAGAGAGGTGTCCCACACCATTTCCATGTTACAGGAAAAACTGGTTAACTTATTGTGCGAAAGGTCAAGGATTTCCTTTGAACCAAGAAGACAATAATCGTACTCAATGAGTTTACATATCAATTCTAATAAACATATGAATACGCAGTGAAACGACAACAACATTCATCTTACCAAGGGGCATTTCCAAGCCATCGGAAAGTCTCGTAGATTATTGTGATCCAGATATAGTTTTGTGAGCCCGACAGCTCCCTGAATACCGTTAGGTAAACTTTTTAGCTGATTGAATGACAATGTTAGAACCTTCAGTGCAGTACAGCCCCATGTGTCGCCATCAGCTTCCTCGCCCTCTTCCAGCTCGCCAAATAAGGAAGAGATATTGTTCTGAGCGAGGTTTAGTTTCTTCATTGTGGGTAATTGAAACAAAGAGACAGGGGCGTATGTCAGCTGGTTATCAAAAGCTGATAGCTTTTGTATCCTGTTGGATAAAGTGAATGTTAAATTTGCATTCAATGAGGCATTTACACGTAAGAAGACATGCCATTGTGGCTAGATCAAATAAACCAGCTTCAGAAATGTGCCTCTTCGCACTAATTTATTTTGAGCTGACTCCGTGAGAAAACGTGATTTGTGAGACAGAGTGGCTAATATATAAATTTGCTCGCAGGATGTTGGAGGATTTACGTTCTATATCTGTCATTATGAGCGAGGTTTTATTTTCGAAGATTAATTACGGTGAGAAACGGCGTGAGAAGTTGAACATTTTAATCACTGAGTATGTCCGAAGATGTACCTGGATTTTACAATATCTGATTAATACGGGTAAGTTACAAGGGTTCCTTACAACTAATAAGTTTGTTCATTCCGATCCCGTCGTTACAGTTTTTCAACGTCTCTTTTAAACGTCAGTTTCCTAATCTTAAAATGCAAGATCAAATAGCGCAATTCATTTGCTTGCTCCTCAGAATCGAAGTAACTTTCCCTTCTTTATATCAGTCAATGATTTTCTTGTTGATGCTCAGTACGAGTCACGCAGAGGACGAATTAGATCTATATCGACTTGCAAAGGGTTCACAGAGTCTCGATTCCACGAAAATAGAAATGTGATACTCAGGAACAATAACCAAACACCCTGTCGTTATTTTATAACAGCAAACTTAGAGACCGTCATTCCGAGAAAATTCCGTTTCTGGGAAAAAACCGTCATAATCAAGTTACTGTCTAACTCAAAGCCGGAAGCTTCGATTTTACCTATTCTCATAACATCAATGTAGACATGAAAATAAAGTCGGGAAGGTAAAATTAAGTTCTTAATAGGCTGGGGTCCTAGTTTTAACTCTCAAAGGGCACATGTAAATGAGATTATAAAACTTTCACCTTTTTGTGGACAAAGCGTTTTACAATTAACAAATACATTATTTCCATACAGTATGGCGTTATACCTTGTGTAGCTGCTGATAACTTCTGGTAAAGATTTCAATTGATTTCTAGACACATCAAGCTCCTCAAGGGCTGGAAGAATATTAAACAGCTCTTCTGGAAGCTCCTTAATGCAGTTATCAGACAGGTCAATACTCACAAGTCTTGCTGACAAGTTAACAAACCAAGCTTTATGAATGGCGTACAAATTTTTCTTACTCCAAGCAGCAGAAAACATTGTCACACTTGGATCAACTTCAAAAGAAAGTGCTGTCTTGCGTTTGTTCCTAGTTTCTTTGGTGTATCTGCAGCCAAATTAAAAATACAAATAATGTCATGGCACATCAAGGTTGCCACATGATACCTTGGTTTATCAAATAAATTTTTCTCAGAAATTACATATAAATATTAAATTTAAAATTTATATTCATTATCGAAGTGTGAGAGCCATTCCAACACATGCAAGCCTTCCCATGTCCTCTTGTTAGAAGCAATATTATTGTCCATGTATGTATCTATTATTTCCTGTGTCTGTCTCCAAGTGCATGAGACAGACAGTGATCAAGGTTTGTTTGTGCTACAATCAAACCCAGCAAACTAAATACTCCAAAAGATTTTAGTATCCTACCTCATTAGAGCTTCTCCAATAAGTTCCCAATAATTCTCTACAAGATCACAGGTCACTTTGGCCCCATTTTCAATAAGGTAATTAACAACAGCAGTCTGATGACCTTCACATGCACCTTTGAGAGGACTGCCTGGTGATTCCCTTCCCTGGGAGTCTAACGATGTAGATGGTGGGTTCACATCAACACCTCTCCTGATCAACAGTCTTGCCAGCTGGACATGCCCAAGTCTGCATGCCTCATAGAGTAACAATGGTCCATGGGATCCAAGGAGACTGGGCTGCTCAGATAATAAAAATTCCACTACATCATGTTTTCCAGATTTACAGGCAAGTAAAATTGGCGACAAATGACCAAATACAGGATTATGTACAGATGCACCTTCTTTTAACAAATATTTTGCAATATCTGCATATCCTTTTATACATGCAACACATAAGGGAGTTCCAATTTCTTCAACAACTTGATTGACATTAGCACCAAAGGCTACAAGTTGACGTACCACTTCCAAATGGCCATTTTCACAGGCCACATGAAGAAAATTTCTCGGCAAAGTTGAGCTAGCTACATCTTCTCCACAAATTAGCTCCTTTACTACATCTTGATTGTGGTAAATGGCTTGTAGTAGTGTGTCAAGATCACCTGTTGTGCAGGCTTCAAACAACTGTTTTCTAACACCTGGAAACAGAAATGATAAATATGAACTAAGATAACTCTTTTTTTATGCATACAGTGTAGAAGCAGTCGTATGTCATGATAGATGTTACTTATCTCTGGATGTAACTAAAAGGGGGATGTCCTTAGCTGTTGGTTAGGGGTTGGGTTAGGGTTAGGAAGGGATGATCAGGAGACAAATCTGAAGTCAAAAACTCTCCCAATACTATACAATAGTTTACAGCTTTAACATGTTTTTACAAATAATTGCTTTTACAACACAAAGTGATCACCATTTCAGGTATGATACCAAAATTATTCCAAGTGCATGCTGTATTTGAAATATATAAAAAAAAATAGCCGAGTGAATATGCATTTTATTTTCATAGATGACATAAACACGATCAACGAACTTCGGTCGTAACTGCAACGGAACGATTTCCCTTTAACACTTGGAAACCCCGTACAATTCCAAAACAAAGCGTAGTCGCCATTGTCTTCTATTAACCAAGAATTGTAGGTATTATTAAAGAAGAATGCCAGAAAGGGATGACTAATTATTTCTTTAATTACAAGACACTCGAAATCTGGTGTACCGACACAAAGAAATGGGCGCCTCAAGGAACAAAATCACTGCGATATCGACACACTTACTGAGGCACAAATTACTTACTGTTACTTAAATGGCTCTCCATATTGCTTCGATCTGGATCGATCGTGAACCCTCATATATGTAATCAATTGCAATGGAGTGTCAGGAAACGCACACGATAACTAATTCTTACGTTTACGAAAGCAGACAAAGCGCGTCACTTCGAGATTAAAAGGTGGACGCAAAGGAGCATCAAAGATCAGGTCCTAATAAAATCATCAACACTCGAAGGAGAGCAAAAACAGCTGTTATAAAGACTTTCAGCATTATATTAGCATGTTTTGTCACGTTTCCGCATTTTCTGCGAAAACTATGTTTACCTTTGCTCATAGCGTATTAATCTATGCACATATTCCAGGAATCCTTTTTCCCTCTCTGTCTGGGCACAGCTTTCGACTGAAAATGGAAGATCAGCATCATATCATCGGCTATATTATTATGGATTACCCAGATACACCGTGAATGCTTCTTGTTTCCAAGAAAGATCTGCATACCCTTCCGTAATTTAGTACCTCTAGAGTACCTCCAAATATGGAATATTTTTCTATATTTGGGAATACAAAATCCCGTATGCAGAAAACACATTTCGCGGGAAATTTCACTAAAATGGCGTCCAAACGGCCAAATTCCAGCCAAAGAGGTTACTTTGATTTGATCAAAAGAGGAAAATCTGCCGCTGCAGGCCAGTCTAATGAAGAAGATGAAAACGCCAGCTTTGTTGATGGTTCGATAGTGCGTGTAAAGATGCGAAATTTTGTGTAAGTATTCAATCTCAAGGAGCGCGTGACTATGTTTTTCAGGTCTGATTATCATGTGCATGTGTGAGTGATGCTTCTTTCGAAGATCATAATTAGCTTTGATGTTCTTTAATTTCATCTTGAATGTTTTAAACACATCCAAGATTTTTCTTAACTTTAAATTTTGTTTTAGGACGTATGCAGATTGTGAGTTTAAGCCGGGTCCACATTTAAATGTGCTTCTTGGACCAAATGGTATGTTCCGACATCCTGCTGTTTTATAAATGAACTACAGAGGGAACCATGGGGGAGGGGGTGGGGGGGGGGCAGAAGGATTTAAAGAATAGTAGAGAAATGGAGTGAATAAGAGACAGTCAGGACAAATTTAAGATATGTTTGAAGCTAGGAACAAACAAAGAGGAAATGGAGAAAAGAAAAATGGAAGAGATAAGGATGATGAAATAATGTACTATTTCCCAGGACTGTTGCTTCATGAATGAATGTGTACATGAATACACTTAGACACAATGATAGGCAGACAGAAATAATTAATACAAAAGTGGTCATAATGTTGTGAAGTGAATGGAGGGCTTCTCTTGTCAACAGGGACTGGCAAATCGTCTATAGTCTGCGCAATCTGCCTGGGGCTTGCTGGTTCTACCAAGCTGCTCGGCCGAGCAACAGAGGTAGGTGTGAACCACTAGAAATTTTACTCACACACATATATATATATATACATACATATATATCTGATGTACATTTAGTGCTCTCTATTCCTGTATGTTTACTCAACAGGGTTGCACCACAATTTGGTTAAATGAATTTTTAGAGTTTGTGGAGCTACATGTACATGTTGGTGAACCCTGTATCACTTGTGTGATCTTCCACACAGTGTCTATTTGTTTGTGTGGAAAATCTGGTATACACAGTATTTACTTTGTCTGTCACTATGTGCAATTAGGGGGTGAAAAATTTTTTAATGTCTTAAGAGCCTATGGCTGAAATTATTTTTTGAGGCTTCTAGAGTACAATTGACAGTCTGTTATTAAGTCTTATTAACTTGCTGATAATAATATCTTCTTAGGTAAGAGACTTCATCAAACATGGAGCATCTCAAGCCATGATAGAGATTGAGCTGTAAGGAGCTTTATTTCCCTTATTAAAATGTGTATTTTTTTACAGGGTGAGGGACAAGAAACCCAGTTACATGATTTTTAACAGTAGTGGGAAATTGACTCATTTCAAGCAGACATCCTATCATTGTAATATATTTGGGTTTGAATTATTTTCTTTTTATTTGTTTATCCATGTATAATCACATCTTGTAGACACAATTCAAATGAAAGGAATCACATTATAACCAGAGAAATGTACAGAAATGAGAATAGATCCAACTGGAAAATTAATGGAAAGGGATCAACAATGAAAGAGGTATGCATACATGTTCAGTGTATTAGACTTGAAAGTAGTCATTGACTCTGTATAAACTGCTTCCTGCTTTGTGCAACTGCATGTATTTTCCCTTCAAAAAATTAAATCTGAACTGAAAGGCCTATCAAATGGTTTCCATTGTATCAAAGAAACTAAAAAGTATGCTGTTGTAATGTAAAGGTAAGTGTGTTTAGGTACTTCTTTTTTCTTTTTTCTTTTTTTTTTCTTCAGTGAAACATCTATTTCATGCAAAGCTTCAGCTGATTATCCTTGAAAGATAATGAAGTCTTTTGTTTTGCCTGTCCTTAGGTTCAAGAGCTGACCAAAAAGTTAAATGTGCAAGTTGCCAACCTTTGTCAGTTTCTTCCACAGGTACTGAAATGCACGACACACATGATAGTATCAAACACAATCCTCATTTAGTAATTGATTTAACTATCTTTCCTTTTCTCTTCAAAATGCCTTCTCACAGGATAAAGTGCAAGAATTTGCAAAGATGTCTCAGCAGCAGCTTTTGGAGGCCACAGAGAAAGCAGTGAGTGTAACCAGTGTGGCATTTAAGCATTCAACAGAAGTACTTCTTCTTTAAAGATACATGCAATTTTTGGTAAACAATCATGTAGGAAAATGAGTGTTGCTTATAAGTTTCTTTATTCATAGGTTGGATCACCAAAAATGTTTGATAGCCATCAAAAGCTCATTGAACTCAGGAAACAAGAAAAAGAACTAGAGGTTATTTGAGTCTGGAGTGGTAGATGCAACATAACTGATGAATATAAATTTTTCATGAGTATTCTACACACTTGCTTTTAACCTATGGGTCTTTTGTCCTAAGTAAATAGCTAGAGTGCTTTTCAATTTTTCCACAATTCTGCTATTTTACCTCTTAAGTCCATGGACATGCACTTGTTGAAAATTGCATCATAATTCAAAATTCCATCATTCACCTTCCACATTCAGAATGGATTATGTTTTTTACTCAAAAAATATTTATTATGTTTGCCTTTATACACTTATGAATAGGTTTCCCTCAGAAACGATAAGGAACATCTGGAAAAATTAGAACAGCAAAATGAACGTCTGGAACATGAGGTTAAAAGGCATCAAGAGAGAGAGCGACATTTACAAAAAGTGCAAATATTGGAAAAGAAAAGACCTTGGGCTGTAAGTCAGCAATTTTATGTAGAAAATGACATTTTTATACAAACCTTTAAACTGTCATTCCTGTTCATTGTTCATAAGAGAGAGAGAGAAAGAGGTAGGGAGTCTTTCTTTCACTGTTTAATTTATGATTTACTAATCTATTTCAGGAATATGAGCATGCCCGAAAGAAGTTTGTAGAAATTAAAGGTGAAAAAGAGGGGGTGAAAAGGAGGCTTGATGAAGTCAGAAAACAAAATGAACCAATGCAGAAACGCCTTGATGAAATAACAAGAAAAGTGAGACACCTTGAAAACTCAACCAGAGAGTTAGTAAGTGAACATTTAAAATGTATAATTTTCACCTTCATTGTAAAGGGTTACTATTAACTCACTACAATGTCCAGTTGTAAAAATGTATTTCTCAAGTGTTTGCCTGAGAAGGGAAGCATCTTGAAGACTTATCTGGAACAGCTGAACTGAGGACTGGGGGAGCTCCATTTTTATGCATGAATGGAATAGATTTTATAAATGGCATGCCTCCAGACCTTGATAGAAGCCTTCACCTGCCTTTCAGTGGCCTCAGCAGAAAATTGTTGTTAAGTTTACCTGTGGGTAACACTCCTGAAACACTCAGCTTAGCTTTGATATCCAAGGCTCTGTCATAAACTGGATGTTTAGGTTAAATTAACAGACTAAAAGATGTGCATTTGCATGTGCAGTGTATCTTTGGGCATTTACAAAATAAATTCATAAATTATATCCTTCTGATGTGGACTTTTTGTCAACTTTACACAGATGGAGAAAGGCAGTGAAGTGTTGAAAAGAGCCAAGTCAAAGAGTGAGCAGATTGAAAAGAAAGGAGATAAGGTAACAGCTTCAACCTTATACCCGTCACAGTTTATGGACATGTTTCTATTTTACTTGAGTTAAATATCAAGAACTGTGAGGCTTCTCAACAAGGAATTTTGACAAACTCTTGGCCTTTAGTCAGTAAACATCATTGACAACACCATTGACAACAGTGTTCAAACATAAATGTCTGTTGCATTGTACACTGTAGATAGAAGAACTACGTACAGAATTAAAAGATCTGAAGGAAGAAGAGAAGAAGAGACAAAAACGGTAATAGCACTTCAGATATGTACTGTTTGTAATAATTATCATTCGTTGATTACTTGTGAGTGTTCAGTTATATGTAGGGTGCATGAAGACTGTGTGTATGCAAATCTAACTCAAACAGGAGATGAAAAACTCTACAGGTTTAGCAATGAAAGAAAATCTTTTAACAGTCATAACTTCATGTACCAAACTTTTGTATAGAATGAATGACTTGGAGAGGGTGATAGATGGACTGAGGAATGAACTAGACAACCTACCAGACCCATATCATTTGCAGGTACCCCCTCCTGGAAAATTTCAATGTTTGTTGGTTTTTTTAATTTAACTTTAACTTTAATTTAAATTTAACTTTATTTTGTCTCTGCCTGGCCTCTCCTACCTTATATGAGGAGTAGCTTACATCCAAATTGTTGTTTAGTCACATGCAGAAATATTACATTATATTTTGGTACCCCAAATTCCTCTGGCTCCTGAGATAACTATCTAGTTACAGCAAAATAAGTGAAATACATTTTTACAAGTACATTTTTACAAGTAAGGTGGCGTAATGGGACAGAAAGGATCTGGTGATCAGGTGATCTTTTCACAAACCTAATCTATGCTAGAAAGGGACAAATGAAAGAGAACAAAACAAGGCTGGCAAACTAATCATGTGCTAACAAGCTCTAGACAAATTTATTTTGACTCTACAGCATTGCAGACACATTGTCTATGTCTAAAAGATTGAGAAGCATCTGATATTTACAATATTTCAGACTCAGTATTTTAAACTTTTTACATGATTTTCCTTTCCATGCAAGCCTCGTATTGATGAAATCAATGTTGAAGC